GTAACAGGTAAATGATAGGTGTTCATCTCTTTTAGAAATAGTCAGGCATTAGGTGCAGAGAGTGGTGCCATGTATTTGCTTGATGTCTTTTACTATTCAGCTGTCATGGGATTTTGATATAGAAGATAGCAGAGGAATAGTTTAACATTTTGTCCATAATATAGGCAATTACATTTATTATTTGTATATGAGAGACCTTTAGGTTCTTCAAAAGCAAGACAATCTCTTTGTTTTATTTTCAACAGTCACTTCTACTCAGTAGAAGAAAGACATGGACCTGTTGGAGCGTATCCAGAAGGCAGCCACAAAAATGGTCAGAGGGATGGAACACCTCTCGAATGGGGACAGGCCGACAGAATTGGGCTTGTTCAGACTGGAGAAGGCTCTGGGGAGATGTTATAGCACCTTCCAGTACCTGAAGGGGGATTATTAAAAAGGTGAGGACAGGCTTTTTAGTAGGGTCTGTAGCGATAGAAGAAGGGGTAGTGGTTTTAATCTCAAAAAGGCTAGATTCAGACTAGATATAAGGAAGAAATCTGTTACAATGAGGATGGTGAAACACTGGCACAGGTTGCCGGGAGGGGTGGTAGATGGCCCACCCCTGGAAACAGTCAAGGTCAGGTTGGATGGGGCTGTGAGCAACCTGTTCTGGTTGAAGATGTCCCTGCTCATTGCAGGGGCTTGGAACTAGGAGTCCTTTAAAGGTCCCGTCCAACCCAAACCATCCTATGATTCTATGATACATGGAGGGTTGAATGTTTCAAGATATTTTCTCTATGTTCCTCCACAACATACACTTTAGAAGAATAATAAAAGTAGTAGAATGCCAAATTTCCCCATATAAAATCCTATTCTCATTTTCATCTAACTTTTCCAAGCCTTAAAGCCACTACAACTGCAGGCAAGTTATATACCTAGAGCCTGCAGTTCCTGTTTCAAAACTGGGGCCAGTATGAGATGTTGAAACAGTAACTGGGACTACAGAGGGAGAATGAGGCTGAAGGAATGTCCTGTCTTACTCCGGGACTGGTTTAGGAATGAGAAATAGTGGCTATGATAGTACTGGGCAAGCCCAAACTTCTCAGCATGTGAAAACTACATCTTTGAATGTTCAGTCATATAATGCTGCCTGTTTGCAGCTTAATTATTGTCAATGAATAATTAGTGCACATGGCATTTATGCTGAATTGGGGAAAAAAATCATTCTTTTATTAATTTACCTTGTGTTTCTTGGTCTGAAATACCTTTCCTGCTCTGCCACCCAAAATACATTACAGCCCCTAAACGCATTAGAAGATGTTGGATCTGAAAATCACTGTGACAGAGGTTAGATCAAAGTTACTTTTCCGTTTAAGAAAGGCCTGTTAATTTCTGGTTGAAAGATAACACAAAAAGAAGGGATGATAACAAAAACCCCACTTCCTTTTATGGTGATCTGGCTCGCTGCAGAATGAAGGTGTCTCACACTTCAGAGGTAGGTAAACTGAAAACATGGATTTTGGTGGGTTTTTTAACCAACCATGTTAGTTGGAAGGAGATATCCAGTTTGAAGTTGTTAGCTGTTAGCAGTGAATGACTTTTCATCCCCTGTTTCTCTGGGATTTGCTCATTATAAAAAAGATCAGTAACTTTTCGTTTAACTGGCAGGTGATAGATTTGGCTCCTGTTCCATCCTAACTTATTCACAGTAAAATCTGTTGGCTCACAAAATGTCTGTCCTTCCAAGGATTGTCCAGGTCACAATCAAGCAAGCCCCCCAAAAAATTGAAGCTTCCTGGAACACAGGAGGCATACTCCCAAGATGCTCTTAAATGGCTCATGGGGATTTTCCCCCCCTTTTCTTTCTGTAGCTTTTAAGCTTCCATCCACCTCCTTAACATTACTCTCTGGCCCAAATTCTGCTTGTGCTCAATCACTACCCTTTACGGACGTCTCCCTTTTTTAAACTGAAAGTAGGCATATCCACTGGTATGCCTACCAGTCTATTAAAAGAATTAAGGACAGACCATTTGGAGAGAAATATTTACCAGAGCCATCATGAAAATTTAATGTAAGAGACTAACTCCATATAAAAAGAGGAAAAATCTTTTCATAAGGTATGGAGTGAAGAAAAGGAAAAAGCACATATATGCTTTTACATATTTTATATATTATTTATTCTACTGATGCAGTTATTTATATATGAGACATCAGTAACAAGCAATTAAAAATCCTGGCCCTAAGACAAATGCACATTTTTGTTCTGTATAGCTCTTTCGTTGTGTTGTACTGATAGAAACAGTTTTTGATCCAGACAGGTTCTTCTTCAGCAGTTACAGACAGACTTTGAAACTGGCATCAGACAGCTCATTCAGACTGTTTCATAGCACAGTTTCCCCCTAAACTGCCCTGATAAGAGCATTTGTTTATAATAGGAGACAAGCTTAAGGGAACTTTTTGGTTACAGGGTATTTTTTAAAGCAAACAAATCTGAAAGTGTTTCACTACCTATCATACTTATTTTATCAAGGATTAGTGGAATCATAGTGTTAAATTTAACAGCCTCAAAGTAGTCATCTTCTCTGGCATCAGTAGTGCCCTCTACTGCACATCGTTGTAGAAGCAAGACAGTGAGAACTGCATCGGTTACACTGCTTTTTTCACATTTTTCTTCCCATCTTAATATGCACTAACGGTTCCTTATTTGTATTCCTAATAATTTTAATTTCTAATATATATAAAAATGCAGTCAGTATTTGCTAATGGAATCCATTGTTGTTTTGCAAGAAGAGTTTAAAAGGAGGAAATAAAGAAGGTTTAGGAAATGAAGCTGCTAGTTCCCTTACTGACTGTAGTTCATTTACTGGTCATATTCTGCATACTAATTTCTGAGGTTAAATATGTAAATATATTTACACACATGTAAGCAAAAATAAGGTTGAAGCATTGTACTTGTTATTTTTTCTTATTTTTCAATCTCTGTTTTGTTAACTCGGGTAAGCACAGAGTATTTTGGTTGTGCTGGTTTTTATACTTGCTGTTTGCTGTTATGAAGATGAGACAAGTCATTAAATTAGCTTCTTACAAGTTGACGTACATAGTTTGGTTTGCAGTGTGTTGCTAGGGGCATGATATTATTTTGTCAGTTCTATATCAAACAAAAATCTCAAGATTTTGATGTTGAATTGCTGGAAAGAGGTACAGAGATTTTACGTAAGTATTTCCGGAGTGATTTCAAGGCCAAAAGCTTAAGATGAAAGATCTGAAAATTTCAATTTATTAATTCCCCCCTTCTTTTTTGCCTCTGTTAATTGAAGCACCTTGTGCTCATATCATCATAGCCTGAGGTTTTCCTTGGATAAATTAATGCATCTATTTTTTAATTACCGACCCAAGCTGGATTTGGACAGCTTACTCTTACAAGTACTGAAGAAGAAAGGTTCAGGGGTAGTAGCTAATGGAAGAGCAGGAGAAACCAGCTGCCTCCAATATTTTAAACACGATGTCATCTAACTTGCTAACAACAAGTCCGAGCATTGCAACATTTGAAATGCCGTTGGCAGTGAGCTAGAGAGAGCACAGCTTCCAATATTACTGACTGCTGCGCATAAAAGACGATGTTATCAACAATGGTCTTTAAAAAAATGTCTCTAGAAAGGAGAAACCGTAAGATATTTATCTCCTAAGCATCTGCTAAGACTCCCAGAATGACCACTGTGGGCAGTCAACTACAATGAAGTAGTTAGGAGTTGAAAATACACTTTGGCACATCATAGCTGCAAAGGTAAGAGCAGCTTACATTTCTAGGCTTCTCAGCTTCCTTGGAAGCCAGTGATTCCTGACTCTTAGAACTGGAGGGTTATTGTTTCTGCAGAACACAAGCTTTTAATAGTGTGTGGAGAAAGGTTTGAAAACATACAATCACAGACCGGTTTGGGTTGGAAGGGACCTTAAAGCTCATCTAGTTCCAACCCCCTGCCATGGGCAGGGACACCTTCCACTAGACCCGGTTGCTCCAAGCCTCATCCAGCTTGGCCTTGGACACTTCCAGGGATGGGGCATCCACAGCTTCTCTGGGCAACCTGTTCCAGTGCCTCACCACCCTCTCTGGGAAGAATTTTTTCCTGATACCCAATCTAAATCTCCCCACTTTCAATTTACACCTGTTGCCTCTGTCCCTGTCACTACAGACCCTTATAAAAAGTCCCCCCCACTTCCTGGTAGGCCCTTCAGGTACTGGAAGGTTCTTTAAAGTCTCCTCAGAGCCTTCCCTTCTCTGGGCTGAACACCCCCAATTCTCTCAGCCTGTCCCCATGGCAAAGGGGCTCCAGACCAAGTCTGTTCTAAAACTTCAGAGTGTTGAAGGCAAATGATAAAACCAGTGTTAATTTATCTCAGTAGAAGTTGAATTCTGTTCCAGAAGCTGATTTTTCAACACCTGGAGTTGCCCTGGAGCTTTCAGCTTTTTCAGCTTTCTTCCAGCCACTTAGAACAGTCAGGAAAAGACATTTCACACTAAGAGAAGAAAAAAAACTGCTGGTCATGTGGAAAGGATGAGGAAATTATTCATCAGCATTTCTTTGTGCTTAAATACAGACAGCAGCTCCAGAGACAGTTTGAGATACAGCTCCCAGCGCAGGATGTGTTCTGGCAGGGAGGGCAGGGGAAGATCCCGGTCAGCTACGGTGGGCGGGGCCTTTTCCTGTCTGTTAGGAAGAGCAGGAAAAGCCATTGTAAGGAAGAGTTAGCGGGAAAAGCCATTGGCCAGTCAGTCAGGGAGAGTGGGTGAAGCCCTCAGGCAGTCAGTCAGGGGAGGGCCTGCTCCTCAGAAAGGGCGGGAAAAGCTCTCAGTCAGTCAGGGCGGGAAAAGCCTTCAGTCAGGGCAGGAAAATTTTGACTTTGTTTTCTATAGAAATGTTCTGCTTTTTCTCTCTGGCCCTATGGTTTGACCTCAGTTCATAAGTTTTAAGTCCAAGATGCAGAATAGCCTTTCCTAATTTCTTTGGTAACCTCTTTTTAACATGGCGTCACCCCTCCCAGAGAATTTGGATTGCTCTGCACCAACCTTTGTGGAGGACCACAGTGTGTGTTCCACTGAAGTTCCTGCTGGGAACAGGGAAACGAGTCTGTCTGGTCACGAGAGCCATGTCCCCAGGTAAAAAATGTGAAAAATAGCCCCCATACTCCCTTTCTGTGGTAGTACTTAAGTAGGTAGAGCACCATTGCACCTGACAGGCTTGTGCAAAAGTGAAAAACATACTCCCCTGCAAAAACACAGGGGAGAAGGAGCTCTCATGCTGCAAACAGCATCTCTGTTCCCTCAGACCTCTCCAAAAAGCCTGTAGGTACAGGCAGAAATACAGAAAACCCTGACAAAACAAACATACTGAATTTCACTAACAAACAGCTCTCGTCGCTTTTTTTAAAGACTTTCCAAACACAGTATATCAGCCTCAGAGGCCAGATGGCATCTTAGAAGTATTTTAAAAGGAAAAGGATGATAATAATAATAATGATGACTTGGAGAGTTCTTAGTCTTTGTGGCAGGGCAAGAGAACATCTGTCTTTAGCGATGTATAGTCCTGGGTTTTGGAGTGTGTTGTTTTATTAACACTGCAGATTTTTATTTGCAGCTGTTTCTCTTGTGTGTTTCTATTGGTGCTATAATACTCATCTTTCATACTATTAATGCGGAAGATCATTTCTTGTGCTATACAGAAACAAGTATCTGCTCATGCTGCAACCTGTTAGAAATGACCAGGCAAACCCTGTGAGATATTCAGTGCCAACCCCTTCTCTTCATAGATTTCACTGTTAACTAAAGCAGAGTGAATTTTAAGTAGGAATACTTGGCCAGTATTGTATGTTCGCTTATTAAAATTCAGTTTATTTCTGCAAAAGGAGATAGAATATCAGCAGGGGTTACACGGGGAATTGCTGTCCTCTTCCTCCTGTTTTGCCACATTTACATTTTCTGTTGGCCCATAAATCGGGAAATTGGGATTGAAACAGAAACCCTGACTTTTAAATTCTGCAGCAAACTTTGAAGTACATCTGGAATATTAAGACAGTTACAGTGGACAGAATCAAATTAATAAGTAAAATTAAAATACTTAGGAATATCAAAGCAAAGACATGGTTTCCTATCTACCTATGTGTTCTTTCATCCACCCAACCTTATATATTTTTATTGTCTTCAACACTCTGAGTTTTGTTATGTTGGAAGTATGTACCAGTCAACTTTGGTTACCAGTTTTACCATTTGCTGCATCATACATGTAGCTCACCAGCCAACCATCTCCAGCGTGCTTAATAGAATTTCTATTTTAGATATGGCAGTGAGATGTAGGATTTTAATTGGGAGGAAGAGACTATGAGTCTGAAAGTTAGGGAGTCTTGGACTTGATTATGAAACTATTGTACAGCAGAAAATGAATTTACTGCATGACCAGGCCTCATATTATAAGCACTGCATATGCTTCAACGTTTCACCTCTGGAAAGCCATTAGACTCCCTGTGTCCAAGTTTATTCATCTGAAAACCACAAAACAAAACAAAACAAAAAAATCTTGCATTGTGTTTGTTGAATGCTTCAATATTACTGGACAAAAATCTTAGTAGTACTAGTAGATGCTATTACCAATAACATTTTAGAATAAATGTTAATGCTTTCCAGAAATTGCTTTCAAAAATAATAATCTAGTTTCAGCACAATGAGGAGTAAGTGGAAGCTGAGCTACAAAATGGAAGAAACATATTCAGCTGATAGAAGAGAGCTGATTCTGTAACAGCAGGATAATTCATTTTGTGTGGTGACTCATTTTTTCTTAGTATATTAATGACAAAATTGGACTTTACTGATAAACTTTGAGCTAAAATAAGTTTTGTCTATTCTTTTTACTCCTACCTAAACTTATGATGGTATATAGTACACTTGTAATTTTAAGGACAGCTGAAATCTTGGAGTCAGATTGCTTATGAAAATAAAAAGCATCTGTCATAACATTCAAAGCAGCCTACAGCTTTGCTGTAAGGGATCTGCTGCAAGGTTACTTTGTCTTTTTAGGTGAAAGATACGGATTTTATTCTTTTCACCGTGCATCTATTGACACTTAGCCTTCATATAATTAAAAGCCTTAACAGTTTGTTCAGGGCAGCAGATCAAAAGGTTAATGTGCAATGGTACAACAGGAAGTATTTGTACTCTTGAACATTTTAAAAATTTACAGCCTTTAAAAACAACTTGGCCCAAATCATAGCCAAAGCCAATATTACATCATTTAGAGTAAAACATTAATCATTAGTCACGAACCATCCAGTTGGTTTAAAAGTTCAGCTGGTGAAAAATTTGATGGTTTCAGGATTGAATAGAAATGTACTTTTGTGTCCTCAGTCATGCATCTGGAATGGGAAGTCAAAGATTTTAGGGAAAGTGAGCAAAACAAAATTTAAAAAGCAAAAGAGCTCCTCCATATTTTTGAAACAATTATATCCTTGAAGCAGTTTTGGATTACATGAATTTTTTTAGGAGTGGGGATGGATGATCAAAACTCAAAGCAGAACTAGATTTTATCATATGATCTGTATCATTAATTTTCTGTGTTTCAGTTCTGAAGTTCTTGAAGCAATAGAAAATGTTTTTCAAGATGTACTTAAAAGCTTGGCCCAAAAAAAAGCACCTGTTCTCACACTGGCTAACAGATCAGATTGGAGGAATATAGAGTAAGTATTATACATTTTTAAGTCCTGTGTTATACTAACATAAATGCCATTAATAGAAATATGATTATGTAACTGCCAGAAAAGTTAATGTTACATAATTCTCTAAGTATCAGACTCAATAAATAATTTGACTTCTTAAAAAGTATTGGACAAAGAAAAAGTAACACTTAGCAACCACGCTGCAGTAACCAGCATCATGTGTTCAGTAACAGCAGATCATAGGATAATAAAGAATGTAAAACTACTGTAATAGGGGTTAGAAAGGAGAGGGAGGTCCTATAAACAATCGTTTTCTGGAAGTAGTAGAAACCAAAAAATGGTAAATCGTGTTAGGGTGAAAAAATCTGTTTCAGGCTGGAAACAATTGCTAGCAATTTCATCCTCCAATGACTTTTCTGTGCTTCCTCTTCAATTTTTCTTTGCTTTTCCTCCTGGTACCTTATTCTTAAAATGCTAGTGATAAACTTCTCCTTTTGTTCTTCAGAGAAGATGCATCTCACCTCTTACTGTTGTATTTCTTGCCTCCGTGTTGTGTTCTAAGTTCATTAATGGCCAAATAAAGCAAACCAGGTTTCTAATATGTTATCTGAATTTCAGATCTTATGCCATCTTATCTAGACAGGATCAGAGAAAAAGAAGCCTGTCCTCCTTTATAACACACTTTGTGATTTGTAGAAGTTGCTTGTGCAACAGTATTTTTCCAAGGAGCTCATTTAAACTGAAAATACCTGAAACTGAGAGATTAATTGCTTTCGATAATACAGACCCAAAAGGATAAAGGAAGACACAAATCTATTTCTTGCCCTGTAATAGCTTTGGATGTCAGTGGGTTAAAGGATATTCAATAAGATTGCAGAGGTGATTGTAAGTGGACATGTTACAAACATTTGTGGTTGTGAAGGCATAGGAAACCTTCCACATGTAACACTTTGGCATACTCATTTAATGAGAACAATAAATTTCTGTCAATCAAAAAACCTGAGGGCCCTGAAGGTAATCAGTTAACTGGAAGGCTTGTATGTTCCAGGGAATTTAATGGCTTGTGTCTCGATAGTTTGACAAAAATGGTCTACTCAGATGTCTGTAAGATTAAAATACTGTAACATTTGCAATTTTTGGCAATCTTGGGGGAAATGAGATTCCAGGCTACAAAAACAACTGTGAGGTGTTGTTTGCCATCAGAACACATAGGGGGAAAAACGTTCAAATTAGAACAAGTTAAGATCACAGTATGTTAAAAATAAGACTCATCAATCACATCAAGAAAAGCTGAACCACTATTTATGGTGGAGAAATGTAATCGCAGATATGCATTTCCATTGAATAATGCCCTATAGCCCACTTTAATACAACAATTTAAGAAGAGTAAAATAAAAATAAATAGACAAAAAATAAAAGCAGAATGGCAAAATACAATAAGAATGGAAGAAAATATAGTCAGTGGGGCTTTTTTTTCCTTTTTTTAGGCAGGCTTTTTATACCTAATATACACAGCTGCAATCTGCTGGGCAGCAACTGGTAGAAATAGGGAATGATTTCTTGTTTGAAATGTTACTTGCAAACATTTGTAGATGCTCAGAGAGGTATTTGCCTGAGAACGATGTCAAGCAGTGAGAGTGCCAGGCCTAAAGTCGTGTTAGTGTCGTCCCGTTCCATGTGTGCACGGCGGTGTGTTCTGCCACCCAAAGGATGCGTGGAGCAAAACCTTTGACAGAGAGACAATTAGAAACATTATGTGGGTTTAAAGTTACGGCTATTTTAGCACCAATACTTTTTAAAAGGAGATACAAAACTCTGAAATGAACAAGAAAGCTTTGAAGGCAGGACTGTCGTATCATAAGGCACTACAATAATTTAAAGTAAAATAATGGAGCGTCATTAAGGAAATAACTGAAGGTGAAGTGTGCACCTTCAGACATGAAAGGGTGACATATGATTAAAGATTAAAGAGCTGCTTAGAGAATAGCATGGACCACATTTTTGGTTCCAAACGTTAATAATGGAATATAATTGACTTATTCTCATGTAACTTAAGGGAATAAACCAGGTAATATTATTGTAATATGAAATAATAACACTTTTTTGTACATTCTGTGTCAGAAAGACACTGTGTCAGACTTGATTTGTATTCCAATAATGATACTTTTTTCCTGTGTCAATTATTCCTTTGTGTTCATGCTAAATAATAATTGATGCTTGTATATTAACAGTTATAAACTCATAAAATATTTTTCTTGCCCACACTTTCGTCTGGAAACACGTATTTTAGGCTTTCATTCAGTCTTGAAGTATCTTCTTCAGAAACTGTTGTGTTTTGAAGCCAATGATGAGATGGGGGGCAGTTCAGCAATGTTTTGAATGGATCATTTTGGCAGATGATGAGCACTGCCTGCCTTTTTCCTTCAGCCACTCCAACTCCACCCAAGCTGATGGTTTCTGTACTGAGTCTGAAAATAGCGCTAGCATATTTGATTATAGGAAAGGGGTCTGAGGCTGAATTGCCTGGCAGAGAACAATTTACATACACTCAGTAAGTTTACTGTTTATTGTATTTGTTTGCAATGCATCAGATTTAAAGATTCCGTAGGACTACAGATGATACCTCACTGTACTACAAAACAAATAAGAAGTGACTGCCCTAGATCAGCACTAAAATTTGGTAAGTTAAAACAGTTCAAAAGCAGAATTAGTATTTTTTTTCTTGTACTTCAGTTCAAAACTTTCTTAAAAAACAACCAACCAAAAAAACCCACCCCACACAACAAAAGAATTGAAAAAACCTAAACCATAAAAAGATGTTTTGCACTGTGATTTAGAAGTGTACGGCCGATATAACCTGATACTATGACCAGCCCTTCGGCTCTTCTCTTCTCTATTAAATTATAGTGCGTGAGAGTGAAATGAATACAGTGTTCTTACAGTTTCTACCCTCCCTGAATGAATATCAGCTGAAGGCATATTCAAAAGGGCTTAATGTAAAAACATCACCCTTCCTCCAAAAGCTATCTGATAAAGGAATCTTGGAATATGGACAATATGCTAACTTCTTTTTCTAATTCAGTTGTTTAATTTCTTGGCCTGGACAGCAGGGCATACTTTCCTTCACTTAACCCCATCGTATTTTTTCTGATTATGTTAGAAATTCTTGAGTCTGTTGATCAGTACAGTCTCTCTGTATTTTCACAGCACATTAAGATGTAGGTTTCAAAGTTTTATTTTGTGAGACCCAAGTATGGGTCAATATAAAACCAAACTATTTTATATTCATTTCTGAAAACAGATAAAATATTTTTAAAAATGTATCTTTTCAGCTCTGACGCTCAAAGTATTATCTGTGATCTATAAGATGGTGCAGAGCAATACTTACGCAACTAAAAGGTAACATATTACATTTCTGTAATTGAAAATCAAGTTGTTTTTTCAAGAATGTTATTGTGAAAATCAGCATGTAGGATCCAAACCTGTAGGATAATGGATTGCCATAGGTAAAATCTGAGAATCTTTTAAGTTGGAAAAGACCTTTAATATCAAGTTCAACCGTTAACCTAACACTGCTAATACCACCAGTAAACCATGAATATAAGCACCTTTGATCTGATTGTCCATGCCCTCTATAAAATTCTCAAGAGCCTACAGCTGTTTCAGTATTATAATTACAAATACAACATTTTGTCTTGATAGAGATATATATTATTCAGATACACTACTGTTTGGCAGCCAAAGTGTTGTGGACAGTATAATCAATGACATTTCTTGCATGCTTAAGATACCTCGCAGAAGTCTACATATAGTAAGTGGCTTATTATAAATGTTTTTATAGTTATTTCCAAATCATATAGATTGAACTGAAAGCTGAAATGCAAATAAAAGTTAGTAGGAAATACATAGTTAAAATAAAACGTGACATTTGTGCAAATGAAAACTAATTATGCTTTATCATAGCCCCTTGAAAGTTTTCTTTCTTCAGAGAAAGTTCATAGAGTTTGCTTGGTCCAATGAATTTGGGACAGACTGCCAGCTAAAGTCACTGAGCCTTTTACTATTACCTGCACTCCTTCAGAGTGCAGGACATCTGTTTAGCAATTTGTCCTCAAATGGTTTGCTAACTTGTCAGTTAAATGAAAATTTAAAGTAAGTCAGAGATGTAACAACCTTTCAAATTTACTTCTATCTCATGTCTTACAAGAATTCCTTTCTATCTATAAATGCAGTTAACACAATTTATTGTGAATATGCCTTTATATCCATGATGACAACACCACTGCTTAGTGTTTAAAAGGTGATGGCAGTCAATATCTGCTTACTACCAGTCAGAATTCTTTTCAGAACTTCCTTGTTTTGCTTGTGCAATATAGTAGCCTAACAGCGTGTAACTTTCAATTCACTGTATATAACTTACCATTTTTTTCAGCTGTCTACAACTAAAGGTTTTGTTGCTGGTAATTTAAGTTACACTGAGGAAGATGGTACAAAAGTGAATTGTACCTACAGTGCAACAGTATGTATTATAAAACAGTGGCACTCATTCATAGCATCTACCTGTGCACTTCTTGTAACTCAGGTTACTTATATATTTATTATACACCTGTGCTTGTGGCAAATTGAGACATTACAATCTGGGTGAAATAAAAGAGGCAGAAATATTGGTCAGCTGTATTGCAAATGTGAAGCTCAGCTCACCAGCAATATATCCTTTGGATATGGGTTTTTAGCGCTGCGTTCTACTACGGGAGTCTCGTGGAGGAAGGCATATATGTTGTGTATCTTGGGCTTTATATTACAGTGTTCTGTCAAATAAGTGCTCTGAATCAAAGAATCCTGAGCACTCTGAACATACTTCATTTCTGTCACAATCTATTGATTGCTGGCAGAGTAAGAAAACAAATCTTAAAGCATGAGTTAGCATACTCATAGAGTCCTCAATGAGCTTCTACCACACTGGGCAGAATTCTCTGGGCAGATTTCAACAGCACAGATGATAGACTGAACTCTATAATTAGAAATCTCTTTCTGGACCCAAATTATGGTCTCATTTACAGAATTTTAATGATGGTGCTCCATAAGAGCTGATATTGTCTTCATGTGCCCAGCACTGCACAACCAACAGTATATAATATCAGGCTGTTTCGTCTCAGGATTATCACTTATATAGGACTAACAGACATTAGAAGGGCTTGTATTGTCAACTAATTTTAGCACAGGTGGCAGAGAGCTAAAGAGAAGTTTATAAGCATGGTTTCATAAGAGTCAGGAGTCAAAAATTATTTGAGGGGATGAGACTCAACTGATCTAGTCCTAGAAGATTTCCTATAGCTGTGTAGTATATGAATGCAGAAACAGAACTCAGACTTGCTGACTCTTGTCATGATTTTCTCAAAAATATGATCATTGTAAGCCTAAATTGGTAATTTCAAAATGGAAAGATAACCTTAACTGCCTACTATACTTTATACTTTTATACTATACTTAAAGCAGAGCATAACAACTGATGTTATTAATACTCATCTACAGATCTTCATATTTTTATTTGTTGAGTTGTTCTCCCAGCACTGGAGGTGATTTAGCAGTCAGAAGTAAAAACAGACCACACACTTCAATATATACATACTCTTTTGCCAAATTCTGCCTCCAGTTCCTGTTTTCTCATCCATGTGCTTGCCACATTGAGCCAATCCTAATATGAGATATAAAGTAAACATAACTATGTCTTAAAATTGTTGCTCCAAAATAGATATAAAATCAGTTTATAGGTTAATAAAAGAAAGGATTTAAAGAATACTTAAAATGTTTTAAGCCTGTATTAAATCTACAATCTTCACACCAAGCTTAACTGCTTTTTTCTGGTTAAAACAGATGACAAATTAATTAGGACATTGTTATCTCTGTAATGCTCCTATGATGAACAATCTTCTGTGACAGTAGCACAAACGCTTTTGAAAAGACTCTTGTTATAACAGGAGGACTTCTACACAAGCATACAATAGCCCAGGATATGAATGGTTGAATACGCTTATGAAGAGGTGAAAATGTCAGGATTGATCTTGTATACAAAAGATGAATGGTTGTTTCAGGATGTAATTGTGTCCTTCATTACCTAATGTTGTTATTTTAAAATATATCATTTTCTCTATTTAAAATGATTAACCTCGTTTTTGTTGTTTTAGGCAGTCACTGTGCCATCTAATGTTCAAGGAATTAAAAGTATCCTTTGAGTAAGAGTTCTCATTGTAGACTGAAAAAATAAAGTAAAACCAAAGAATCTTCCAAGTTAAACAATGTTCTGGTAATTTTTCCTTTGCTTGTTGGCTCTGAAATTGAGTCATGAACACTGCTTTTGGCTCCAGAACGCGTATTTTAGAGCATTTAGTTTTAATTGATTGGTGTGATGGATCATTTTACACACAGCTAACCTTAACAGAAAAGATTTAATCTCACATGCCAGATTTATGTTGATTGTAGAAAAAGATGCAACTTTTCAGAGACTCCTGGATGATGACTTCTGCAATAAAGTGTCCCCATGTATAATGATTACGGTATGCATCTTACACTTCATCGATCATAAGAATTTAAATTATACTTTAGCATTGTAGTGGTGCTCAAACTTGATCAAAAGAGCATAATCAAATCGGTATGAAACATATCTAATGATAGGTTTTTTAATTTTATTATCCTGGTAGAAATACAAAATATACATTCTAAAGCCTTATTTCCTCCAAACATCTCTTGGTATCTTTTCGACTTCATGTGCTGCTGCAGAGTAGCTGCCCCACTGTCTCAGAAAGGCTTAACTGTTGAGTAACTTCTTGTCCTCCAGGAACTCAGGTTTAGCAAATACAAATGAAACAGAATTGGTTGGTTTTGGGTTGTACTGAAAGAAATATGGAGCCTGGAGAATTAACAGTAAACGGAATAGGCCATACCTATTTGTTCTGGGACAAATTTGGCCCACAATGAGGAAAAAACATATCCTCATATCTGAGAGTGATAAGCATTTATACTACATGATGTCCAGTTTTAGTCAGTCAGAGCAAGAACTTGTTTTCCATTGTTTCACTAGTGCCATAAATATTTTTCAGAAGAAAAAAGTGCCCATTTTACACCAGCTTATACAAAACCAGGGTACAGCTATACATCAGCTCCCAGACCTTACAAATCAACTCCTTAAACAGAGGAATGTGTGATATGTCTACAGTGCCTGTAACCCCGGACGTCTGCCGTGCTGCTCCCCAGCCTGTCCCTCCTTCCCTCCTCACAGAGCCAGAATAGGAGCATAGAACTTTCCCTTCCAAATAGCTGCTGGAGAAGTATTTCTGCCAGCATTTTGTTTGTTTGCTTGCTTTTAAATTACAAATGTAAACATGTATGTAGCCAGATGTGGTTTTCATTAATTTAAAACTGTCTGCTTTTATTTTATTTCCTTAGGGAAGAGGCGTACCAGATCTCAATACACGACTGTTGGTCAGAAAGCTGTGGGATTCTTTTCAAATTCCTATTTTCACCCTTATGGATGCAGATCCACATGGTAAATCTGTAGAGGTTCAATGACATAGAAGGAAAGCAAACTTTATTTAGAATGTGTTTTCTTATTTTTATGGGAAGGCACTCGGGGCACAGAGATCCAACACAATCACAGGGTTCCTGATTTATGCAGACTATAGCTAGGAATACAGAAGGAATTTAACTGAAATGTCAGTACTGGCTTTATATCCCCACTGAATATTTCCTTACCATCTGTGATGATTTGCTGTGCTTTGAGATATTAATAAGAATCTTACCTTGTACCAAAAAAAAAACCCCAGAAGGATAGAATTCATAGCTCAGAATAGAGCTAGATTCTGAAAGTACCTGTGGGCCTAAAGATGAGGATAAGGAATTTTATGATCCTTTGCATAATTCCACTCATTTTAATGGGAGTTAGGCACTTGACTGCATCTAAAAGTCTCAGGAGGTCCTAGCTATATCTTTACAGAGTTAAATACCATTGCACATGTTGCTCTGTCAAGAATTCCAGCTGTTGGCTATCCTATTCCTTTTCTAAAATAGAAGGAAGTAACAGGAACTTTTCTAAATGTTCAGTTTGGTATAAAGCAACATTTTAAACGACATTATCATCCTTAGGCCAGTCAGACATGAATTAAATAATGTTTGAGCAAAGTGGGTCTTTTATTGGTTTTAAAGTAAGTTCACATTCATTTATATTAATAACTCAGCACTCCTGTCAATAGCTTATAGTAGTGAAAGCTAGAAACTGCAACTCTGATCCCAGAAGGAATAAATTAATCCTAAAACAAGTCCATCACATTCTATTACAGCAGCAGCACGTCTGAAATTTCCCTCATTTCATGAGGGATTCTGTGTATGTGAGTGCGTATGCCTCTGATTGCATGAATCTGAATTCACATACAGAAAATGTAGAAACCCTCTTACGTATCTAGACTGACACCACCTGAAATTAGGGAGATAAGTGCCAAATGAGAAGTAGCTGCTCAAAGCAATGGTATTAAGACATACGAATTACACAGCTTAAAGAAAGCCACTTTTGGTGACAGATGTTGGACAATGCATAAAAGAGCTGATTATCCTTAGGTTTGAAATGACTATGCACAGAGAGCGTGAAACATTTTACTATATAAGGTGACATATTATGCTCCTATTCTGATTATTACTGACATACTCTAAAAATAATTGTAAGCCATAAAGAACATCACTAGCCATAAAGCCATAACTGTTATACCATAAAACTGAATTCATAATGCAGTTTTCTTAAACATGCTCAGTGTGCAGATAAACAGACACGTGACATTTGGTATTCTGCCACCTAGGTGTAGAAATAATGTGCATCTACAAATATGGATCTGTGGTGAGTCTAATTTTTCCGCTTGAAATACATTGTTTTGTAGCCCAGCCTTGAAGCTGGAATGCATGAAATGTTATAGCCTTTGTTAGAATGATTTCTGCCTTTTATCCTTCTGTTTGAACACACAGTTTTTAGGCATTGTGTGTCTGCAGAAACAGCTTGTTCCTGCAACATAAAGAAACTGGATAACAATGACACATGTTTAACTTAACTATATTTCAGTTTTCCTCTGCTGCACAGGCAGTTTTCAGGAAGTCCAAATAGGAAGGTGTTCTCCATTTTGCTTTGTTTCTGCCTTAGAAGAGAAATGAAGGCTGGAGGGACCTTGGGAGGAGGAGAACGTAACTTTGAGATGGGTGATTCTCCACAAAATCATGTTATGTTTGTAAAGATTTTGGTTTGGGGTGAGAAGTTGCTTATTAACATGTTAGTGTGGAACATTATGGAAGAGGCAATGAGAACAAGAAGGCATTATCATTTTACACTGCTAAAAGATGATGTACAGGAAGACAGTATGGCAGGCAGGCAGCGTGAGGTGAAGGGAGGGCAGGAGCAGAGGGGTGAATCCTTCAGTAGAGCAATGGAGAAAGAACATCCAAAGTAAAAACAAATGAAAAGAACATCAGAAAACTGTCAGACATCGATGATGTCAGAATTCAAATATATGTCATAACATACGCCTCAAGGACATCCATGGAAATGGATCTTCCAGGTTTTCATGTGAGCTGTCATGCTTTCAGCTCTCCTACAAAGGTGTGTAAGCTGACAAAACACCATCCTCCAGGATTAAGCTGTCAGGTCCCTCTGAAAGTGTATTTTGTTCAATTACAGAGCAACAGGTGTATCGAAAGAAACTAGAATATGTCGAGTTGACTACAAACAATGGAAGTATTTCTTTATACAGTGTGTGATGTAACTGTGATACTTTGCTGTAGGGTACTGTAGATGACATAAGTTTTCCGGGATTCTAAAAGCAACCCAACAAAATCAAGCATTGTACCACCACCACTTCTGGCTCAGAAAGCTGGAGTCACAAACCCTTGGGAGCAGGGGGAGTATTCTGAGAAGTATCATTAATATTGAGGTTTTTTTCCCACACTTTTTCCTGAGATGTTTATGGTAGCCATGACACTGAACCAGATGAAGCTTTGTTTGGGCCATTTTTATATGATGTGGTACTTCCCAGCAGGAAATATCATTAATTTCCAGATTTTATTGTCATTGCTCCTCCTGGCATAATTTTGGGGGTGTGGGGGGACGGGGCAATGAGACTCATCTTGACTGTAAAAGCAAAACAAAACAATTCAGGCTATAGACCAGCGTAAACTGGACTAGTCTAGCATCCGTCACAGGCCAAAGGGCACAAGTCTTAGCGAAGAAAGAGTCTCCAGCAAGGGGATATAGTAAGCTTCAGCTGCATTATTTTCTCCTATACCATTCTGATAGTGAAAACACCTAGTTGTCTTTGTAACAAAACCTGACCATGACCTTAGAAGACATGTATCTCAAATAATGTAAACTAAAAGTCACTGAATGTTATAGTTGACCTTTCTTGTTTTAGTCAATGTCTTTTGAAGCCCATCATCTCACCGTTCCATCTATAAAGTGGCTTGGTCTCCTTCCATCTGATCTTGAGAGGTTAGTTACTGCCCCAAAAGAAACAGAAGCATTCTTCTGTTTCATAGACAGGAAATGCAGCCTGACTTAATGCACAAAAAGACAACTGAAGTTTAAATCCGTTATTCTTTTAACATATTATTTTGGCTTAATATAAAGAAGTAAGTTGGAATAACTATTTTTAAGTGTATGAGAAAATTTAACAACGTTATTTTCTTTTCAGATTAAATATACACAAAGATGTTCTGATTCCATTTACAAAGCAAGATCAAAATAAGTTGGCAAGTATACAAAAGAGACCTTACATTGCTTGCCAGCCAATGTGGAAAAGAGAGGTCTGTATAAACCTATTGTTTCCTACTTGTAACTCCCCAGATCGTATGGTCTGCAATCGTGTACCTCTTGATGACGGCAAACTCTTAGTACAGCAGATCCAGCAAGGTTTTGCCACCCTAAGAGGCAGCAAGATTGAGAGAGCCCATGCCCACTGTCTCTGAATCAGTGGGCCTCAACGGCGCACAGGCCAGAACCGGCAGCATTTTAACCCTTCCTGCCATTAGTCATCTGATGATCATACACAGGATTTTACTGCTGTCCTAAGCATTACAGAATATATTACATCTTCACAAGTAGGGGAATGCTTAGAGGTGTTACTTACGCCGTACTAGACCTCTAACCCTGCCTGTGGCTTTTAAAGCAAATATCTCAATTCCAACCTATATTGTGTGAAATGGTTAGAAAGGAAGAAAAGGTATTGTGTACCTTCTCCTCCCCGCTTATACTCATAAATTGTTTGTGTTACTGTGAGGGACATGCTAGAGAACACATGAATATACAATAAAATGAATCAGCTCAGTGACAGGGATTTTGGAGCACCATGTCTGGTAAAACTAACTTTACAGCTCTACGTGGACACCCAACAAGTGTAATTCTTACTTAAACAACAAGTGTAATTCTTTCCTGGATCAGACTGTTATAGCATCACACATTAATTTCTTCTTTTTTTCTTTTTTAGTTGGAAATTATGGCAGCATCGAAGCTGAAGGCTGAAATTCAAGTTTTAACTTCTCTTTCATCAGATTACCTTTCCAGAGTCTATTTACCAAACAAACTGCAGTTTGGTGGCTGGCTGTGAATGCTTGTTTGCAAATGAAATGCTTTTCTTGAGATTGATTTTTGTTGACTGCCATTAGAAAAAGTGCAGAGGGACAGAGCAGTGTGCTTGAGCTTTTTGTTAGGTCTCTTTATCTTTTTTTCCTCTTTCAAAACGTAAGAGAAATAGCAAATTTTTTGTTCAGAATACTGTTGCTTCCATTCTGTGGCTTCTGCCCTGTAACAGTACACACATAAAAAGAGAAGAGTTACGTTCTTTGTGGCCAGAAAATGTTAAGTTCAAAATTGTATCACGGAATTGCTTTGCTTTCTGTCTTAGAGCACAAGAGGGTGCCGTACCAACCTTTTCATTGTTATATTTTACAGTGCATTGTGGCATGTTGTTTACTGTAAATTCAGACTGAAAAGTCAGATAGTTCTTCATTCCTGCCTATCTCAAGCAGCTATAAACGTTCCCAGCAAGGGAAGTACTCTTTGTCTTCAATGAACGTGTTACCAAGCAGATGCTACTGATGAATTTAATAAACAATCCTGTTAATGATGCACATCATCACAGAATCCCTGGTTCATTTGATTTAGTTGGCTCTAAAACTGGAAAAAAGGAGCAGGAAACGGGTGGCGAAAGCATACAGTAACTTTTCTGTGAGGAAACCAGATTGACTGCATGGAAAATAGTTCCCAAATTGATCTAGGCAGTCATCAGCACGGATCTCAGAGTGTTTTCTGTGGGCTTACCTGGTTGGGGTTTTTAGTATTGTTCCACCAGTATTAGATTCAAAAGGCATTACAATTTATTTGCTGCACAGTAGCAGTCCCGAGGAGCGATTCCTAGTGCCCAGGTGCACACACCACCTGGATCCGGAGGGAACACGAGGCTGCTCCATCGGCAGGAGTAGTGGCACGGGGCTAATCCCTGCCGCAGGAGGCTCAGGCCAACACCCCGGCCGCTGGCCTAGGGTACGGTTCAGAGGCAGGGGACGCCTCTGCGTCTGGCCCTACGGAAAGCTTTATTTTCGTGAGAATAAATGAGTTTCTACCAAAGGTTAACGCTATCTGAACATAAAGAGGTTCG